GTACTCCCCCTGCTTCCGCCGGGGCAGCGGGGCTCAGGCAGGACGGGTCACCCGGTGGGTTCTGCTCATTTGTCACACCCGGGAAGCCCTTTGGGGCTGTGCTGTGCTGGCAGGCAGCAGCCTGTGCGTGTGTGTGCGTGTGTGTGTGTAGCAGGGAGCAGGCTGGATGCTTCGCGTTCTCAGAGGGATTTTCTGCCTTCCTGCTATTTGTGTCTCCTTCAATTAACTGCGATTGGAACAGAGAGAACCAAAGGTGGGCGCCAGGCTGAGAATCCGCCTCTCCTCTGCGCTGGTTGCGGGGGGACCCCTGTGCCGCGATGGGAGGCGGCTCAGCCTCTCCGTCACTTGTGATTGATGCAGCCCTTTCCAAACACGATTTTCCCTCCGGCTCGCGTCCGCAGATGCCGGCGTGGAGCTGCGGCCGTCACTCTTGTCCCCAACAGCAGCCTTGCGTCACAGGTGGTGGGTGCAGCGGCTGACGGGGGCCCTGACGGCCAGGCCAGCGCCGTGCGCATGGCACACGCGCCGCGCTCCCCCTCCATCCCCTCCGTTCACTCGCCGCTTCCTCGCCGTAGCTTTCCTGTCTGCTGCCGTCTGGAGAGCCACAGCCTCTCTGCTTCCTGTAGAGCAGTTCAGCGAAAGCAGTAATTAGGGCCTGTAAAAATTTATTTTATTAGCGAGAAGTGTTGGTGGGTAATTGGCCATAATTTGAACCCAGCCAGATTGGCGATTAATAAAAAAAAATTTCGTATATATATTTATATATAGTAAAAAAAAAAAAAAATCACAGAGAGATCTTTTTACCAGAAACACCAGGGTTGTGAGCTGGAAACCCTTCCTGAGGCGGGTGGGACGGGACAGGACGGCGGCTGTGGAGAGGGCGGCCGGCAGCGAGCGCCTGTGCTGTACCCGTCCTTGAGGGTGTTTGACACTGGCATGGGAAGAAAGGAAACCTTGTTTTCCAAGAACTCTGCTCTTTCTCAGCTTGATAAGCATTTAAAATAAAAGCTGCACAATTGGAATTGGCAGAGCATCCTCATTCTTTTGTCTGTCTGTTTATTTTTTTCCCCTCATCCCTCGACATGTGTGCTACAGCCCAGGGTTACTACACCCCGTGGAACCACAGGCCTGGAGCTCTGCAGGCGCTCGCCGAGCTCTGCCCACCCCCGGCCTGGCTCTTTGAAGCCTGGCAGAGCAACAGAGATCCAGCCCCGACCCTGGCAGCCTCCTGATGGCCAGGGCACTGAAGTCTTGGACGAAACGTGTGTTCTCAGCCCCTTTCGGCTCCCCCTTCGCTCTCAGGGCAGCAAACCCGGGGCTGTGCCTGGAGCCGGAGCGGTGGTTTGGAATCAGGCTGTGACTGCACTATATGGACCCGATGGCTTTGGTATTTATAGGCTTGGTTGGAGCAGCTTGAGCGTGGCCAAGGGAGCGGGAGCGGCTTGAGGGCCGACGCTCATCCCGACGGAGGGTGATTGGAGAACTCCCCGCTCCGGGAGGACGGAAGAGCCAAGCCCCTCTGCACACATGTCACGCGCAGTTACTGCCGGTTGAATCACACCAGGGAGTTACTTCAGGCTACTAGCCCTGCTTGTTGCTTTGGTGTAAGTTACTCGGGGCGTTCCTTCAGGTCCGTAGTGCTTGTTTTTCGCTTGGCAGCCTCGGGGCTGGGACCTGGTGTAACCGTTTCCCAAGGAATATTTTTGGTTTGAAAAGTGAAGGTCAGCAGTTCGCAAGGGCTGCGCTTGCAGCCAACTCTGTGGTTCGCCTTGTGCCACCGGGCCAGCAGCACTTGAAATCCTGATCAATTGATCTGCAACAATATGAAACCACGAAGGGTGACTGCCAGTTAAAACTCCCCGTCTCGCCCCATTTTCCCCACCCAAAGTGTCTTTCTGCCCATATCCCCTTTCTTGCCGCCTGTCTCCCTCCCTCCCTTTCGGCTGTGTATTGGAGTTTTTGTCTATCTTTTTCCATCTCTCTGTCTCTTTTCATAACAGTTTTTAATAATGTTTTAGTTAGTTCCAGCCTTTTCCCTCAATGGATCCCATTGGAAAATACATTTGAAAGGAAACAGTTATACACTTCCCTTCCTTTGAAACTCTGTTGGCACCTTTTCCAGTGCAGTAAACCATACAACATGGATTTTCAAAGTTTCCAAACACAGACATGCTGGCGTTAAATTTATGAAAAAATATTTTATTCGGCTGTATAGTAACTATGAGTCTCCGAGCTGCTGGTCACAGTGAAATCGAAGCTCGCTTTGGAACTGCAACAGGTTTTCAAATCTCTGCAGGAAACGGCGCTGGAGCCTGCAGCTCCCTCGTGTCCTCCTGCCAGGAGACACAGCAGCAAACAAAAGGGGTGCTGGGGCACCCCATGAAGAGCCCACCAACCCCCAGCACAGCTTTTCCCTCTGTACAGCCAACGGTAGCTGCAGGGAATATCACGGTTGTGCCAATCCTATCTCAAGTCACAGGAGAAAAGAGAAATTTGGCATAAAAGCGTGATGTCTTATGCTTGTTAATGAATGTGGAGGGTTCAGGCTCTTTAGCTGCCGAGTGCCGTGGCGGCGGCTCCATCGCCTGTGTGAGCTCACACGTGCCTTGGGACCCGAGGCTCCGGCTCCATGTGAGTTGTTGGAGCACTGAGATCGTATTTTCTAGCAGGGGGGCTCGGATGTTGAACTTCCTGGAGTGGTTTCTCTGCATGCTGTGGGTTTGTGCCTGTGGTCACGGCCCTTCCCGCAGGGAATCGCTCGCTCGACACCTGAGAACCTCCCTTTGCGTGGCACCGCTCGCAGCTGAATTTTTTCCAAATTTCCACAGAAGACCACAGTCCCCATTCACCACCAGAGGTCTGGTGGGTGAATCTGGCTGTATTTTTGTGAGGAGCATTTTGAGGGGTTGTTTCCAAACAGAGCGAGCCTCAAAGGCTGTGCCCAGTGGCATTTCAGGTATGGTGTAAGGCACACAAAGCCTCCTGTGATAGACAAGATGATGACAAAGAGATCCCAGGCTCAATTTTCCTGTTGTCCTTTTGCTTGTAAAATTTCTTTCCGTTCTCATGGGAGTTTTCCAGAGAAGCCACTAATTAAGTGTTATCGTTGTGCTCGGTGCCACATGGAGTGTAGGAAAAGCTGCAAGATTCAGGTCCAAATAATTGGATGGTGTAAATGCACTGGGTGTGTGCTCAAATCTTGGGTTTGGGTGCCTTTATTCATGGTACTTCTAACAGGTACTGATGGGAGAATGAGCTTAAGGAAAATACCAGATTTTCTAGCCCCTTTTCTGCCTACCTTGAGATGCAAGAGATGGAGCTCTCCTAAAAACATAATCCTTCAGAAGCTGCCTTTGATCAAACCAGAGTTGCCTAGTATCTGCAAATTCCATCCCCTCTGTGTCACCAGCCAGCCAACAAGTGAGGAACACAAAAATAGTTGAGCACATGCATTGGGAGGAGTTAAGGGGACTTCTGGATCACCCTGAAAGTTCAGGACCAAGGTGAGGAATGGAATCAAGTTCTTCATCTTAATCCCCCAAACCATGACCTTGTCCTGCAGCTCTGAGGCTCATTGAACACGTGCACATTTCAGCACATCAGAACACTCTGCAGGAGGGTCTCTGCTGCCTGTTAATTTTCTGTGTTGGCTGAAAATGGTACCTTGAGGGGAGAAAAAGTGACGTGTCGTTAGGACGGCTTTGCGGTGAGTAAGTGCGATGGAGTTGACTTGAAGCTGCATAGATGCCTCCAAGTCTGGTGTTATGAGATTTCTTTGCATGTGTAGTTTCCATAGTTTTCAGAAAAGCGAGCTCCCCCTTGGAACCAGGCTGACCTCATCTGGGATCCTTGGCTGGCACGTAAATCTGGATGCACCACACAAGGCTCTGCCACGGCAGCAATGCTGCATGTGTGGGGCTGGGATCCTCTGGGAGAGCAGCCACCGATGGTGCCAGCAGAGCAGTGAGGGGGCTGCAGAGGGGGCTGCTATGCTGTGCCTCACTTGTGCTGCTTCAGCCCCCTTTTCCACCTGTTTTTCCCTCTCCAGTGCCTCACCTGGCTTGGTTTATTCTGTCCAAGCAGGTGAACCAGCTGCTGCTTTGGTTGGAGTGGCATGAGAGAACGGTCTGATACTGAGCACCCAGATTTCCATAGGCCCCCACCTTGGCAAAGCAGCATGGAGATGGCAGAAGGCACACCCAGACCCCTCTGCTGGCCCCTGCCAAACTTCTGGTTCCTGCTCCAAGTGTGAAGGTGCTAGGGATTTTGCTGAAATGGTCAAAGAATTTTTAACTTGAGAAGAACAATATATTTTCCCTAACCTCATTCTGGCAAATGGCTGAACCTTTGTAGTTGAAATTTTCCCAATAAATTTAGCTTGAAGAAAGCTTTTGGCATGAAAGATTGCAGCCTAAATGGTTAAAGTTTGGCAAAGCTCTTAGGAACTGAAACCAAGGTCTTATAATGGAAATTGTTAAGTAAGCATCACTGCAGGCAGAGTGGCTGGGCTGTGCCCCTCTTGGTGGGGTGTCCTGGGGCTGGGGTGCCACTGCCATCAGCCAGGGAGGCTGGAGGGACCAAGCAGGGCTGGAGTGTGAGGTGAGGAGGCAGTTCAGGCTTGCAAGCATTTGATGAGGACCCTGGGATTTCCTGCTTCCCAAGAGCTGGGAGGAGGGCACGGATTTCACTTCATGTTTTGGCATTTGCTTTGCAAACACTGGGACCTCAGGAAGCCATAAGAAGATGAGCAGCAAAGGAGGGAATGTGCTGAAAAGGAAGCTCCACACTTTGGTGTTCCTGCCCCATCAAAGACTCCTTTCTCTGAATGCTCCTGTCTGCAGGCACTTGCTGTCATGAGCTTTAACTGCAGGCCCAGAGTGCTCACCCATTCACACCCAAGGAAGCCAGTTCCAGGCTGTCTGCTCACATTTTGCTGTCCAGGACGTGCCCACCCCCAGCAAGAGCTTGAGGGGTGCAAAATGTTGCCTGTTATTTGCTGCTGTTACTTGTCCTTATTTGTGAACTTCCCTCTGGGCTGGAGGAAATCTCTTGGGAAGCCCTGTTCACACCTCCTCCCTGTTGTAAATAACATCTGACACAGTTATGGCTGGGCGCACACAGCTCCTGGGGGGATGCTGGTAGCTCTTGCCATGCTGCTCTGTAACCCAGCCAGGCTCCCAGCTCCTCACTGGCTCTTTTGGTGAGGTTCATAGCTCTGGCATCTTCAAAAAGAGCTGACAGATCTGTGCAGACTGAGGATAGGCCATCAGGGTTTTTTGTTTTTCATTCTGCATCATTGCAATGCCCCTAAAACCATTTTCCATTTCTGTCATCCATGATTTTTCTTCTTTCATGCAGCATTCCCTGTTTCATCTGAACGCATCCTGCTTGTGCATTTTATGGCAAATATTCCCTGCACAGGCAGAGACAGCTGGTGCCAGGCTGGTCTGGAGCTATAGATATGCTGATGAGCTGGCACACCAGCTTGAAGGGACACACTTCCTTATGAGCCAGCCAGGAGTTACATACATTTAGATTTGCCAGCCTTTTAGCTGCCAGACGGGTCAAATTCACGTTGCTGTCAGTTGTTGGCAGCAGAACCTGCGGCTCTGGGGATCTGCTGTGACACTGCTGGCACTTTGCTGTGCCTGTGTCACAAGTGCCAGCGTCAGCTCCCACGCTCAGAGCGGCTCCGGTGAGGGCAGTGCTGAGAAATGAGAGTTTCTCTGGCAATTCTCCTGGTTTGCCAGCATGGATGAGCCTGGAGGTGCTTTTGCTCCAGCTGTGATGGTCAGGGACTGGCGTGTCTCAGTGCAAATGTGACTAGTGACAACTGGGATGGATGTGCCTCCCCATGCAGGGGGAGTGTTTCTGACTCTGTATGGGCTGTTCCCCATCCCAAACTGACTCCCACAGCCTCGCTGGGGTCAGGGGGGCAGAGCAGGATCCTGGCCTTGCTGGCTGGGTCAAGCACCCCAAGCATGTAGGGAGAGCTCCGAAGTGCTGCTTAGTGCAAGTGGAAATGGCTTCAATCTGTGTTTTGACTGATGGGTCTTTTCAGGAAATTTCTGAGAATAATATTTCTAAAAATGGCTGCTTCTTTCCACTGATATTTCCTGGAAAAGGCTGTAGTTAATTTTAAACCACTATCCTTTTCCCTTTTCAAGTGGAAATGGCTTTGTGCTTGTCCTCAAGGCTAATGTCATTCTTTCTGACCTAGCCTGGGTTGTGTGTGGGGAGGGACATTGTGCCATTGCCATTGCCTCCTCTTACAGGTCCTGTTGGTCTCCCAGAGCCTCAAAAATTGGGGTGTTGGGGACACTGTGCACGTGGTCTGCTTTCCCTGTGGAAATTAATAACTTCTTATTAAGTTAGTATTATTAATAGTCACTTCACAATGATGTTTTTTGTTATTGACTCCTGGCCAGCCCCGAGTACACAAGAAAGCTGTCCCTAAAGTCATTCCCTTAAGCTTTGTTCATCAGTGTCAGGAAGGATATACTGAGTTGGTTATCGCACCCCAGGTGCAAGGATCCAGCCCTGCCTGGGCTTAGGGACAATCAGAGGCAGAGACAAGCTCCTGGATCAGCCAAAGGGAGCTGGCAGCACGGAGCTGTCTGGGGCAGGCAGCCCCTTCGTGCCGGGCAGAGCATGGCTTCTCCTGTGGCTCCTGGGCAGGCTCTCTGCTTCTGGTGGGAATATGTCATTAATTTTTATACCTTCCCCTGTAAACCATCGACCCTTTTTATGATGTCATGAGGGATTCCTTAATTTTGCAGCTGCTTCCTGGTTACGTCAGAGAAGAGCCTCCCGTCCTCGAGCCCAGCGCTGCAGTCCAGGACGGCTGGAAACAAATGAAGTGTTGAATATCTAATGGCTTCCACAGGGAGAGCTGCTCCATCCTCCCCAGGCCCCCGGCATTCCTCACCTCCTAGGCCTCCCTCCTTCCTTCCCTCGGACAAGCCAGGGTTGCAGAGGGAGCTGCAGGCTCCTGGGCAGCCCCAGCTGCTCTGGGAACACGTGCAGCGACTTCCCTGGTGTTGCTGCTGCAACCAAGACCCTCCCATGGCCTTCCTGCCTCTCCACGGGTTCAGGGAGGTGGTTTGGGGGCATCCAGGTTATTGCTAAGATCCAGAGGTTGCTTTGGGAGGGCTCCAGCCCTGTGTGCTGTGGTGGTGATGTTCAACTCGGCCACAGTGCTGGGAGGGCTGGGGCTGCCATCCTGTTTGCTCAGAGTCTGGGAGTGTCCTTCCAGGAAAGCTGCCCATCATTCCCAGGGTATCAGCCGGGGCTCCCAGGCTCTCAGGGGCAGATGAGTGCGTGTGTGACTCGCCAGTTCCCAGCGCTGGGAGTGCCAGTGACTCACAGCTCTCCTGCCAGGGCTGTGGGGGAAATGCCCCACAGCTGTGAGCATCCCCCTCACTTCTGCTGCTTTCTCTTCCCGTGGTTGTGTGCAGCAGGGCTCTCCTCACCCATTTCCTGCAGACAGCCCCACCCCAGGGGGCTGCCCTGTAGCTCTGCCAGGGCTGTGTCTGGTGGGCAGTGACTCACGGGGAAAGCTGTGTCTGAGCCCTGAGGGAGCAGAGGAATTGCCTTCAGGTGGTGTCACTCCGAGGTGAGACCCTAGCCTGGGTCTCTTCCCCTCAGGGCAGCAGCCAGCTGGTGAATCAGTTGTCTGTGCCTCCAGAGTCCGTGTGCTGACACATCAGCCGGGTGCCTTCGCCCCCAGCCCTGTGCTCACCGAGCTCCTGTGTCCCCTGGCCAGCCCGTTATGTCATCCCTGGGACCGTGTCCATGGAACTGTTCGTTCTTTTGAGTGCCTCTCCATACAGTCCTTCACCCTGTCACCAGGAAAGGTGGCTTCAGCTGTTGTTCCCTGGGAGCAGAGCACATCCTTGCTGCTCTGCCAGCACTGGGATCACCTGCTGCCAGCACTGCTCCGGGCTGGAGCCACAGTCAGGAGCACAGGGAGGCCAGCATGGAGACTGTCCCATGGGAGCCCTCCTGACCCTTGGCTGGGGCAGTCTGGTTACTTCAATCAAAGGAATCTGCTCTCCTTTGAGATTTGTTGGCTGGAATTGTTTTAACTGCGGAAGGTTCAGCATTCCTTTTGTTTTCTTAGCTGGGATGGGTAGATGGAGGAGCATGTCCACTGCTTGCTTGTAAGCTTGGGGGTTGCTGCGGCTCCTTTCCACCCAAACTGGGGGCTCACTCAGAGCAGAACAGCTGGGAGCCATCACTCCCAGCCCCTGCCCCATCCCTGCCTGTGCTGGCTGTGCCCCGATTGTCCCTCGCAGGATTTCCTTCAGCACATGGCACTGGAGCAGCCACGAGAAGCTTCCTCCAGCAAATCCCTCTCCTCGTGGGCGGCTGCCCCTTGCTCTTTTCCCATTCCCATTTCCTGTGGTTGGTTGTGTTGCCCTAATAAAGGTTTGGCACTGCTGTTTTGCACACCCTAGTGGGAGAGGGGATGTGTTTATCACTTTTCCTGGAGATTATCTGTTTAAGCACTCTCTGACAGTTACAATAACAAGGGCAGCGCGTTGTGTTTCCCAGCAAAAGGACACTCGCTGCTGAAAGATGTATAGCACTAATTAGAAATACATAACATCCGGCCACATGGCAGCCTTCTCCCGGCCGCTCCATTTCCTGAGCTCAGACGACTTTGACGACAGTTGGTTTATGTTTTCCATGAATATAACGTTCTCAGAGAAACACAAATTTCTCCCCGCTACAAAAGTCCCCTTTCTCTCTGCCTCTCAGCCTCTCCCCCGTGGAACAGGTAGATTTATGGCTGCAGGAGTCCTGGGTTGGGCTCTGTGCAGGCTGGGTGGGAGCAGAGCCCACAGAGCCTGGGAGAATCCAGGTAGGAGCTTGCAGAGGGCGCTGCAGCTGCTGATCCACCCAGCTCCCTGCAATGCCTGCAGGAAACTGCCTCCTGGTAGGAAAACAGCGCTCTCTGTGCAGCCCAGACCTCAGCTGGGAAAAAACCCTCTTTCCTACATGCAAAGAAACAGGAGGACTCCTCTTCTTGATCTTCAGAAAAACCACCCGTCGCTGGTTCCCAGCTTTTTGCTCTGTTCTTGCAGTCTGATGTTCATCAGCTCCCATTTTTCCATCCCATCTCTGTCTCACCCTTGGGCTCTGCTTCAGAGCAGATCTCCTGGGCACCAGTTGGAGGAGTCTGGGTCCAATTTCCAGCTCACAGCAAGCAGCAATCACTCATACAAGGACATTTTTACAGAAGTCCCCACCTGCTGGATGGGAGCAGGGCAGTTGCTCTGCTGCCTGTAACACAGGTGAAGGGAGGTGGGAAGATGGAGCTTGCTCAGGGAGGTGAAATCTTAGCAGGTTTTAACTGTTGAAACAAATTCCTATTGAGTATGGAAAAACTGCTGTCTTTCAGATGTTTATAGCTTGGCTAAGTGTGGACAGATTTCTAGTAGGACAGGAAAGCTGTCTGTTAAAAAGGTTATTCTGCAGCAAAATCTCAGATCCTTGCTCCAGGATTTACAGTTGCTAGATTAGCTGAAGGAAAAGGTCGTGTTTTTTTACAAACAGGGGTAAGCCACTATGTTGTTTCCCAGCCTCATTCTCACAAGTGGCTGAGCTGTTTTGGCTGAAGATTTCCAGGAGAATTCAAGCTGAGACAGGCACCTAGCATGGAAACTTAGCAAGGTCTGAGCCAGCTAGAAAAAGGGGCTGACAAGTGTCAGGCAGGGTGCTCAGAACTGTTGCAGCTTGTGTCCTGCTGCCAGTCTGACCTCCAGAACCTGATCTTCACAGGGGTCTGCAGGGGTCTGCAGGGCTCTCATGTATTTTTCTGGTGCAGAAAAACAGATATTTGAGGCAAATTCAGCCTATGAAGTGTGGGGAAGTACAAATCAGTCATTTCAAAGTGACTGCTTTAAAATGCTCTGCCTGCTTCTTCCTAGCCCCATGCAGCATTCCATGCACCGGAGTTTTGCTGCTGTTGATGTGGGGCTACAAGTGGTCAGGAAACAGCTCCAGCCTGAGGAAGCTCCCCAGAGGAGGCTTTTTAAGCCAGCTCAGCTCCCTGCCGTGGCTGCAGCGTGTCTCCAGGGGCTGTGTGTTGGTACAGCAACACAGACAGGGGTGTGCATTTACCCTGAGTCAGTCTTGGCTGCGAGTGCAGGAGCCCTGAGCTTAGGCTGTGGTTTAACAAGCAGCTACCAAGGCAGCAGTGCCAGCTTTGCCCACCCCCTCTGCACCCACGCAGCACCTCTGAAGGCAGTGGCACAGCTGAGAGGTGACATTTGTGAGCCTGCTGAGCGCTGGTGTTCTCAGGGTGGCTGTGCAGCCCAGAGCTGAGAGGTGATGTGACAGGAGCTGTTTATCCAGGGCTGGCATTAACAGGGGGAGAAAGGTGGAGGGGGAGCATGTTGTGGCTGGTGGTGTTTGATGATTTCCTGTGGAGTGTCACTGCTGTGGCTGCTGGTGGCACAGAGGAGCCACAGCTCCAGCTACCTCAGAGCTTGTCACCTCGTGGCCCCTTCCTTTGTGTGGGACTTCTTTCCACAGTTGCCTGACACCTCCACGGTGTGCCCCAGCTGAGCAGCCTGGCTGGGTGTGAATTGGGAGGGTTATCTGATTGCAGCCCCATTTGGGGTTTCAGAGAGGAAGTGGAATGGATTTGTGGCAGCTTTTGCTGTTGGGGTGCCATTGATGCCACTTGAAGTCTCTCTCACCAAGCTTTTGGTGACAGCCTGTAGGATGCAGGGTTGCCTGTGGATCTGACACTCATTCTGCTTCACCTGCACCCACTGTGGATCTGGGGAAACTGATCTGGGAATTACAGTTTGGCCTGACTTAGGCAGTCAGGATCTCTGCCTGCTCTTGTTGGTCTGGGGCAGCTGCTATCTCCATTTTTACTGGTGCTGTGCAACTGCAGGGACAGAAATTACCTAAGTGTCACTCCATCCTCCAAAAACATCTCTTTTCCAAAAAGTTTGTGTCTTACTTTGCACTACCAGCAGTACAGACATAATTACCAGCTCAGCTCAGAAGTAATGATGCCCTGTGGGCTCCAGAACAGATTTGTTGCTCCAGCCTTCACTTCAGCATATTTTCTACAAAATGTTTTCCTCTTAGTGCCAGGGTAGGCTCAGACACTGAATGGGTCCAGAGAGTTGGTTTTCTTATTGCCCATCACTCAAAACATTTTACAAGTTTCTCTTTAAACATCCCAAATGCTTTGCCCTTTGATTGTACCCTCACCTTGTCTGTGTCCTGTGGCAGGGGTAGCCTGGGGTTTGTCCCCACATCATCCTCTGTTAGCCCTGGCCACTGGCTCCCAGCTGAGGGCAAGCCAAAGCTCCCAGCCTCCTGAGGAAAGTGGTGAAAAGGCACAGAAAGAAAATATCTCCTGATTTATGGTGCTTTCCTCTTTTGTCCTACAATTAAGATCTTAAGAGCCTTTGCTGGTGCATGTTCAGGGGTCTTGAACAAGCACCCACCTGGATGTTTGTCATTCTGTGCTGGAGGAGCCTCCTGGGAATGAGGCTGATGAGCTCATCCGGAGAATGAACTTTCGGGACCGGGGGAGTTTTGTGCATTTTATGAGTTTAATGACGAGCTGACAACACCCATGGTAGCTGAGCTGGAACTGTGTGACAGCAGCCCTTTAAGTGTGGGTGTCCTAGTGCTCTTACCTGCACAGTGGGCAGCTTTGCAGGCTGTACCAGGGCTGAGCATTGTTGGGGTACATGGGTGCACTGGGGATTTATGAGCTGGTGGGCACACAGTTTGTGTTTGCAGCAGCACAAGATGTTTAATGGACAGCTGTGCAGGAAACTTTTTACTGTATTTTGGCTATTAAATTTTGTGTGGGGAACTTTCAGCCTGCATCAAGAGCTGCTGGTGGCAGTGGGAAGGGCTGGGACCAAGCCTGGCCACAGCCACCACAGAGGTCCAGCTTTTGGAGCCAGTCTCTGGAATAGACCCTGAAATATGGGGTGCTCGTCACCTTCACCATCACAAACACCTTTAAACTTTGCCTGTTGTGGAGGGGGTCAGGATGTAGCTTTTATACCAGCTCAGTTTGGGGGGTCACTGTGAGTCTGGCTGGAGAGCAGTGCTCCCAGCCTGGAGTCCTGGGGGCTGCCCACTCAAAGTGTGGGGGTCTGTGCTGAAATACCCAGAGATTTTCACCACCTAGGGGACTTGCCAGACTCAGGTGTGGCAGCTGGACCACTGTGGTCTTGTTGTGTGTCCATTTAAGACAAGAAGGTACAGCATCTCACCGAGTGCAGGGGGAGTGAGCGCAGGGAAGACTACTGCAATTTCTTGGACTGGACTGTGGCCAGAGCACTGGGACTAACACTCTTAATTGTGGGAAAGGCTTAATGAAAGAGATTTACTGTCCCAGAGTGGTCACATCTTTAGTTTTATGTTTCCTCCAAAAGCTGACAGCCCCTGCAGTACGGCACTTCCTACCATTGCTCTGCAGCACCAGCTCAGCCCTGCCTCTGTGAGCAGAGCACCCTCTTTCAGCTACCAGGTGCCTTTGGTGCCACCCTGGGTTACTCTCCACACTGGGTGCTGAACTCATTGACAGCTGTAAGAACTATCAATCCAGCCTTCAGATGTTCCTCCTTGTTTTTCCTGTATTTTTTTTGTGTGTTCTTGTCTTTTTTTGGATGTTTTTAACCTCCCACGCCACTCCTCTGAAGTGATCTGTCCTTAAAACCCCACTGTTTATCCTGTGCACCTCAGGTGCTTTGCTAGCCCCAGCTTAAACGTGGTCTCAGTGTCTTGCTCTAATCCTCTTGCTGTTTGCTCCAAATCCCTGCTCTGCCACATCTGGGCAGTTCAGCCCCCAACACCTCCGTGCTGATGTGTGGCTGGTGCTGATGTCCCCAGCAGAGGTGCCTGGAAGCTGGGGGGGCTCAGGGGGCTCTCTCTTCCTATCTCAGCCCTGGGGCTTCGCTCACCCATTCAGAGTCAGAGTTGTGAGTTTGTAAAAATCCTCTGCCTGGCTTGGGGCAGCTGTTCTCAGGTGGAAGCTCTGTTGCTGCAGTAAG